AGGCTCTCAGAGATGTATAAAAAATCTAGAACTCTAGGAAAAAAACCTGATTGGCTGGGGGAGGATACTTGGAATGGTCTTCTGGAAAAGTGGAACATGCCACTTTATAGAAAAAAGTGTGAAACAGCTAAGAAGAATCGAACATCTGAAAAGGGTGGTTGTTTGCACACTGGAGGATCTATTAGCGTGCATGAGCATGCTATTCGTTTGGTATGTAACTTGTACATTTTATTTCTTAAATTTGTAATCATAAACTTTACAAATGTTTATTAACAACTCATTTTGTCTGTAGTCACAAGAGCTTGATCGGTCTGTGCATGTTGATGAGATATTTCAGCAAACACATATTCGTCAATCAATAGGGGAATTTGTGGACGAAAGGTCTAGGCAGACCCATGTAAGTTTCTACTAACTCTATGACATTATACATTGTCAGTTTTTAAACCTTAGGTTTACTTATTATATTTATTCATTTAACAGGAACAATTTCAAGCAAAATTTGCTAAAATAAGATCTGAGAGTGCATCTGTTGGTGCCTCAGCATGTAGTCCTCTAGACCCTGCGGAGGAGGAAAGATTGAGAAACCGATGTTGGTTAGAGGTTGTTGGTGGAAAATACAAGGGACATGTATACGACATTGGAAATGTCAGTTCCCAAGATGACTGTGTCGATAGTTACATATCCAACAAACACATGCATCTTCTTCTACTCAGCAACAAAATTCAGAAGAAATTGTTAACCTTAAATCGCAATTATAACAATATGGTCAGCAGCTTGAAAAGTTTCAAGGCTTTCTTGGCGTCCTCCTGACATTCCTTTCGCCTTCAGCAACCACATCTGCACAAGACTTTTTAAACTTCTAAAATTCTGAAGTTCAAAATCAAGCACCCAATGGTGTCCAACCAGAACAGCAACCTCCAGAACAACAACCTCCAGAACAACAATCACCAGACCACCAACCACAAGATGGAAATAATTATATGCAATATTAGGCATTTTATACAACTAATTTCCATTACTGTTGAACTTATTTAGAACCAGAACCAGTTCATGAATTTACCTAATGTTTAATATTGCAATTATTTTGATGTAAACAATATTTATGTATTCATGTACAATGTTTCCTTTGTGGATTTATATGTCAATGTGCAATGTATAATGTCTAGGTTTGCTTATATGAATTTTGAATGTTCAATTATAATGTCCAGGTCTGCTTGTATGAAATGAAATGGACATGTTCAGGGGAACTACTATGTGGAAGGACTTTTTTAGCTGTTCTAAAACAATTATATACGGATTATATACAGATATATCCGTATATAAGTTATATACGGATTTATCCGTATATAATTATAGCTACAATAGAATTATATACGGATTTTTGCCCGTATATAATCCGTATATAACCAAGCTTTATATACGGATTTTTGGTCTTATATACAGATTTTGGTTGTATGTAATTCAACTTTTTCTTGTAGTGTTTATAGTTGTAATAGTAAATATAGAAAATAGAAGTAGAAAAGATTTTTAAAATCAAAAGGGCTATTTTAGTTTCTATCAAATTGTTTTAGTCAATCTACTTTTTCTTTTCTTCACCGATCTCTCTCAATCGATTTTTTCCTTTACCTTTTAGCTTTCAAATATATTCTTCACGTATTTCTCTCTTATTTTTTTTCAAGCTATGAGATCTTTCACCGTCTAATGATTTTTGAAAAAAAAAACATGTTTGACTACATTGTTGTATTATTAGGTTAATTAGTATCAATATTGGTTTCATAAATTAGTATCAATACATGATATCTGAAAAAAAAAAGAAAAACTCTTCTACTACCTCGGTTCTACTCCAAACTGAGACATATGACCCCATCTACTGCCTTAGTTCACGAGCAACCGAGCGAAAAAAAAAATTAAAAAAAGGAACACCCTCTACTGCCTTGGTTGCCCTTGAACCAGGTAAAAGCATACACCTTTTTGTCTCGGTTCTGAACCAAGGCAAAAAGTGGTAGACTTTTTGCCTCGTCTGTATATACCTCGGTTGCAGAACCGGTGCGGATAAACAAAAATAATCGTTATCGTTTCTCTTCACTACACTAGTGAGAAGAGAACAAGACCCTAATGTTGGAAATTATATATTAGTCGGCAACGTGATAATGGTGAAAAACCTTTGAGAAAGTAAAGCTAAGATGGTCACTTGGATGGAAATAAATGATAATTGCATGGAGAGAGAAAAGAACTATTATGAACAGAACAAAAAGAAAAGACAAACAATAGTGAAATTATTATGTGAACTAAGAATATAAACATATTTAACACTTTATACTATAGTTCATGTATCAAGAATTGTTTCCATTATTCGACAATAATCTTTTAAGAAATTGTAATCATTTTATCTTTTATATTTATTGTATTATATGATAGTTTGATTAGTTATAACTCGAACGATTAATTATAATTCGAATAGTTAACTATCAACTTCACAAATAGGTCATCCACCTACTTTGTGAACAAGCTATTGAGCTTGGATGATCATCAAACAGACTGGACAACCATGCACTAGATAGGATGGTTAACCACCAGCTCGACGAATAGGTTATTGAACTCGAACGATTACTAAACAAATAAAATGACCATGCATCATAATAGATAGACAATCACCGATCTATTGAACAAGCCATTAAGCCCGGACGATTACGAAACAAATCGTTCAGTCTTGTATTAGACCAATCAAACTAAATAGTTTTAAGGAAGATCAATCCTAAAACCAATTAACTTAAAATTAAAGTATGATACTCTGGTTTGGACCATAGTTGGATCAACTTTAATTAAAAGCTCACCACAAAACTATTAAATAAATGTTTGAGACAAGGAGATAGATTACAGACATTAATTATAACATTTATTGTTATTTATCTAAATATAACTAACTTTGACATTAAAGTATAAGTAACATCTAGTTGGTTTCGACGCACAAGAAACCCTCTCAACAGAAAAACTTGGATCTTGAACAAACACATTAGAGACCAAACAATTGAACTTGAGCCATCCAAAACACTTATAATAATAATTATATAGTAATCATCATTCGTAAATATCTATTTTCTACCAGTTTGAATATATAACTATTGTTATTTACACTTCCATAAACAATTGAAGTTGTAAAATTCACCTACTTTTACAAATCTATAACTACATTCGTTATATAACTGACATTTTCAAAGCTTACCAAACATGTAAAATAGACCATTTCGACACATGTTTAATTACATAACAGAAACTAATTTAGGCAAACCTAAATCATGTTTTCGTAAAAGTTTGATTTTAGGCAAAAATAAAAAATAAAGTATGCAAACATAAAATTAAAAATAGTCAAGCATACAATGAAAATGAATTATTTTCTAAAACGAGTTCCGAATATTCCAAACAATGAATTCAATCATGAAAGAGTTTGGGCAACCAGATAACGTGTAACTCTTTCAATTAAGTAACTCTTTTTCAAAAGCAGCTTTTGTAAAGCAATTATGTATTTAATTTCTTGAAAAAATTTATAAAATTAGGAGTGAAGCAAAAGCTCATTGTTTTGAAGTACAATGTAATGATGGAAAAAGGGAATTGAAAATAGGCAGTGCCTTCTAGTTTTGGTACCTTTGCTAAGATTTGTAAGGACCAACTTTTCCATGGTGTCATAATCTTTACTCCTTCAATCTCACCAACTCAGAGCAAATAAAAGGGCTTTTGATAGCCATATTTCATCACATAATGGGTGAAAGTCTAAAGATTTCATTATAAGCTTATAATGTGAGAATTTATTCTATAAAATTTACTATAAAACTAAAATTTATAATTGTATATGTTTTTTATAGTCATTTTTATGAAAATTTTTATTCACACACTTTGTTCTTCTTTATTTGATTTTTCATGCTTCCGTACCCCTCTTGAACTTTTAAATTTAAATGTGTTCAAATGCACGGACTATGGATTATGTATTATATTTTTTACTATTATGGATTTTCTGGGCTCTATATTTTTCTTGAAAAATAAATTGTATTTCATTTTTAATAAAGTTAACCATAGTATACAAGTCATGTTAAAATGTATCCAAAAGTGGAAATTGCAAGGGCACGTACCAAAACTATAGAAGTCTTCGTAAAGATCATGCTACTTTGACATTAGAATTCTTTTTTATATCGCTATTTTTCATTCTCTTTCACTTTATTCTTTTATAAATACAAAAAATAATTTTTAAAAAGACAATCTTATCTTTATAAAAGTTGTCAAATAATTTTTTTCTATTTGTAATTAGTGACTCTATTAATATAATGTAATTTAGGCTTGAATTATAACTTGGAGAATGATTTAGTACATTGCAATCTAGCTAAAGTTTATTTTTTAAAAGCTACATATATAAAAATGACTTGCCATGGAGTGCTTTTGACTACTTTTTAAGTAACTTGAAATTCAAATGTGATTTGGGTATTTCATAATTCATGATATTATTGGATATACTCCTCTCAAAAGTAAGTGATGCTTTCAAGAAAAGAAGAGAAAAAAGTGTTGTAAGTTAATAAATTATATCTCTTTCTCTCTCTATATATATATACACACAGAGAGAGAGATTTAATTCCCCATTCTATTAAAGGTCCTATAGTAATTTACTCTACGATAACTTTAGTTATTTCATTTTAAATATTATTTCCTTATAATTGTTGCAATTATAATTTTACATCTCCATTTCATGACTATCAACCGTACATTCCATAGCACCAAGCTCTAATAAGTTCTTTTGTTTTTTTAAGATATCCTGCTATAAGTTAAAAGGAGACAATTTAAATGAATTTCAGTGAAAAACATTAAAATAATTAGAAACTCATAAAAACACATATTATACTTCCAATAAACTCCAAATTCAAAACTTTAGTTTGAACTTGAAAAGAGTAGGAAAAAAAAAAAAAGCATCCTTCAATCAGCTTTTTTTTGTTAAAGAAAAAGAGACAGGTTGATGATTCATCCCTTTTCTTCCCATTCTGACAAAAAAAAAATCAAATGGGTTTGAGACTCTTTATCTTACAGCACCTTCAGTCTTCATGGTGTATCAGTATCACCTCACTCAGCACAAAGTTATCAAATAATTTCATGGCACCTTCTTGCATGCTTGTTCCAACATCTCACTCCTCACAAAGCTATATCAAAGAGTTTTAGCCTGTGTGAGAAGTTCCAACATATATTTATATATATATTCTTATTCATATATATATATATATATATATATATATATATATATATATATATATTCCACCTAAATTGTTCAAGGCTTTGTCTTGAAAGTTGAAACCATAAACTGTATCAGTTGCTACTGCAAAATTCAGTGGATGGTTCCTTCTGCACATGGATTGTGATCCTTTCATCTCTTGGAGGTTGACAAGGGCATGCTGTGGCAATGAATTTTGGAACAGCATCCCCTGGCATCAGCACAGGCAAACTCTCTGCATAATTCTGCTTCATCATCTGCATATACCATTAAATTCACTGTTATAAAATTTATTCTTCACAACTATACAACTTCTGCATAAATTTAAGAATTCAACTGGAATACTCAGCAGTATAAAAGGAATTTTTACATTGTTATCTAACTGCAATTTGTCCTCTGTGATCAATTTATCAAATTTAATGATATATTGTAGGTAGACAACAATGTAAAAATTCCTTATACTGCTGAATTTACAGTGTACTCATGAAAATAAACTAGAAGTTTAATGTTTTAGAAAAGATTTGTTAAGCAAATCCTTAGAATAAGGAGGATATGTAAGTGGTTCTTAAAATATTAGAAATCATGGTAGATGGTTGTTTGAGCAGTTAAAAAGTTAAATCCTCTTCAAACTTGTGTCTTAACAGTAGTAAAACTTCTGAGTAAATTGATGAATTTTGTGTATTTGAGCACTAGTTATATATGATTAGCTTATAAGAGTTAGGAAGAGGGATGATTATTACCACAACAGGAAAAGCTGGTTTGTGGAAGGGGGAAGCTAACTCTGATTGCATTTGAGTCTGTTGCAAAGATTGAGTATTGATGATCCCATGAGAGTGAAGGAAAGATTGAAGCTTAGTCCAATGCAAGCAGCAGCAGAAAAAGCCACAAATGAAGAGTAAGCAGACAAAGAGAAGGGCTAATCCGAGAGGAAATCCAATTGAGACACGAGTTGCAGCAGTGTCCTGAAGCTCCATTTTTGCAGTCTAGTACAGTGTTGGTGTCTCTCTTCTCATGTAGAATGTGAATGAGTGAAAAAGAAGAGAATGTTTAGGTTAAATAAGAAAAGAAGTGAAGTGAAGCAGCTTTGCTTTAGGTTAGGTAGTTGATGGTGGTGGGGTGTAGTTGTTAGTGGGAGAACTGTGGAGAGTGACATGTTTATTATTGAGCTTCATGTGAGTGCTCACACTTTTCATTCTACACTTCTGTTTATGGAAAGAGATAGAAATTCTCGTGTCTTGGTGTGTGTTTGTGTTCAAGAATTTCTTCAACTATATATCATTTTAGTTTGGTGAAATTCATTTTGAATGAAATGAGTTGAAATGAGAGTGACTTGAGAAGTTTTCAAATGCCTTGATATCAAAAACAGTGAGCAGTGAATCACTTTGTTTCAAGTTTTTTACTTCTAATCTTGAATTTTGGTGAAGTTATGCTCTGGAGTTTTTCAGGGACCATGCTATGTATGAAGAATGGCACGAATTTTAGACTGCATGGTCCACTTTTTCCTAAAAGGTACCTTTCACCAAATTGTGATGGACAAAGCAAAAACCTCTATAAGGAAAGTCTAGTTTTCGAAATCACCATATGCCTTATTTCCTAAATTTGAGTGTTGAGGTGTCTCTCCGTGAGAGAAGTCACACTTATTACAGAAGCTTGAACTTGAAAAAAAAAATAAACAAGTGAAGTTGTTTAAGAAATTTTTTAATCCAAAAGAATCAATGTTCTTAAATTCTAATGTAAATTATCATTCACCATGCTTGAATAAACTAGTATAGATTTGTTTTATTTTTCCACTGCATTAGTAGTTTGGAGTTTGAATTCTGAATCAAATATCCTATATGAAGAACATTTGTAAATCCAATAATCCTTGATTAGGAGTTGTAAGGAAAGAAAATTTAAATATACCTTTCTTTTCTTCAATTCTCCGAGATAAATATTTTATAGATATAATTATAATAAAAGTTTTGAGCTTTAAAACGAACAAAGACTTATAACTTATAAAAAATATTATAGCAATAGTATTTTTTCAAATATAAGATCCAAATAGATATAAATATATATTTAAATGAAAAAAAGTATTATAAAAAGAAAATTTCAAACAATTTCGAAAGATCATCACGTCTCTTAAACTTAAAACCAAACATGTTAATAATAGTCACATGTCTAGTTAATTAAATTATATATATTTTAATCTTTTCTTGAAAGATTTAGATTTGTTGAAGTTAAGTGATTTATCATTATTATTATTATTATTATTATTATTATTATTATTATTATTATTATTATTATTATTATTATTATTATAATTACTTTTATTAAATTACTCTATATTACTTAGGAATATGTGTTGGTTTGCATCAAGGAAGACCATGGTGTTTCCTTACTATGGGCAAATTATGAAGCATACTTTTAAATATCATTTCAAACCTCCTTTTGTATGAAGGGGAGGTACCTTAATGTTGAAGAGTCTAGAATAATGGGGCCCACAAGGATCAAGGGGGACCAAGACATTAACACAAATCAGTGTGCCTCGGAAATGGGCTACCCATGGTCAAAAAATATATCCAAAATCCACTTCTTAAAAGAAAAGCAAAAAAGTTAGGATTGATGTTGGCTTGTACCTTTTATTATGGGACATTGTTGTTTATTATTTTATTATCTTATTCTTATAAGTATGCAGAGAAATGTTGTGCTTTTTTTTTCTTTTACAAATTCTATCTTAAATATTAGTTTTTCTTACATTAAACCCACTTAAAAACTCTCTCAACTATCAAGTTAAAATGTAAAATTCAATTTACTTACTTCTCTTGAAAGCTCTTAAACTGTGTGTGGGTGTTTTTTTTAACAAAAATGAGTGCACTTTATGCTGTGATTATTTTGTTTAAAAACTAGGTATTTTGAGAGTAAATTTTTGTTGCAAAAGATTTGTTTGTCTTTAATTTTTCATAACCTAATTTTTTAACAAAGTTGTCACACTTCATATGAAGCAATGTCATATTCAACTCAATCTATATTATTCAGGTGTCTTATATATATCTGATATTTCAATGCCACTAGTTGGTGACCAAAATATATATAATGTACAAATGTTTGGTTTGTGAAAACTGATATGCCGAAGAACTTATTTGGGAATGACCCAATGAGCTATCAGATATATATATATATATATCACTCACATACTAGTCTTGCAAAATTATATCATATATAAAAATTAGAAAAATTTCTTAAACAATGTTAAAGAATTAGAATTTATGAATGTGATTATTAAAAAAAATGGCAGAGGAATAGTTGAAGCAAAATTGTTAGTTCTAAATACAACCTTCTAGAATGTAATTTTAAAAATGATTTCTCTTTGCAATAATATTTTTCATTTATTTTTTTTTTCCTTTTGTCTGGTCTTCTTTATATTCTTTTTAACCCTAATGAAAAATGGGTTGTCAATTAGGTCACAAATTTATTGGATTTATACTAATTTAATTAAGAAAATAAAATAGAGTTTTTCTTATAAACTATCAGTCCATTATGTTACTTAAAAGAATCAACTGTTGTATTAAAATATTTAGAGAGAGATAGATAGATAAAAGCTTTGAGTATCTCGGGTGAGAAAAATAAAAAGTCAAAATAAAAACAAAAAATGAAGAAAGAAAACCTGTGTATGTGTGTAAATATGTGCAAAGAAGATAGTTTAGAAAAAAAGTTTTATACTATACATCTTATATATTTGGTTTCCATTATTGTTTAGCTAGGTACCATTGGTATATTTTATTGTTATCCATCTTGTTGATAAAGAGAATACTCTTCGATTAATGCGTGAATATTATAAGAGAATTGTGTTATATTCATTAATTATTATTAGTTGAAATGTTTATTGGACCTTTAGCTTTTCCTTTCATGTTATGGTTTTTTTCATGTTAAATTTTTTTAGTGTTTGTTGGTTTATTTTTTTTCATCTCATTGTTTTACATATTATTTATATAGAGAATAACTAATTTGAGTTTTACCACTTGTTATTTTTTTTATTTTACATTTCCAATAACTGATATTAGAGCTTCAGTAACTTTGGTTTGTGTTTGTTTTGTATTCTGGAAATGATAAATAATGGTTGTGTTGGAATAATAATTAATATGGATTTACAAATTATTCAATATGGAAATGTCGAATGAAAGATTTGTTATTTATAAGGACTTTTATGATCCTATTTAGGAACAAGGTTTTAAAGTAGCATATAAATTTGAGGGAGATCGAAGAAGAAAAACAAGAAGACTTTTGACATATTAGGCAATTGATAAATCAATTTGTTTATCATCATGTAGGTGACACTCTACCTTACATTTTATGAAAAAGATTAAGCGAGTGGTTTGAGTCTAAAAATTTCTCAAACAATGAATTCTTTATTATGAAGCTAGTAAACTTGTAATATAAGTATGATCCCTTAATGACTGAATATGCAAGTAGTTTTCAGAATATGGTGAATCAATTTCTCACTATGGAGATTGTATTAGATGATGAGCTACTAGCATTATTGTTACCTAACTCATTACCAGGCAATTGAGAGACATTAGTGGTATCTTTGAGAAACTTTATCCTTAATTTGAAATTGACATTTGATATGGATAGCCTCTTAAAAGAAGAAATTAGGAAGAAGGGTAACAATAAGGTTATTTTATCAAATAAAAAATGAAACTTTAGTTATGAAGTTAATATATAGGAAGAAATTATATAGAAATTCTCAAAGACTTAATAATTGTAGGAAGTTCAAAGGGAAGTCAAAGCCAAAGAAAGATATCACATGTTTCTATTGTAAGAAATCGAGGCATGTGATTAAAGAGTATAAGATCCTTAAGCAAGAGAGATTAAGGGATAAAGGAAATAATAACAGCAGAAGAGAATATAAACATAAAATCACTATTACAATTGTATATTATGGCAAAGTTGTCATGACTATGTCAATCTCACTAGCCATGAGTATAAATGGTTTATTGATTCATTTGTCTCATTTCATGTTACATCACACCATGGTTATTTCATATTTTACACTATTGGAGATTTTGGGCTTGTGAAGATGGGAGACCAAAGGGTAAGCAAGATTGTTAGCATTAGAGAAATTTGGTTAGAGACTAATACCAATAACAACATGTTATACGCATCCATAATTTTCACATCTCAACACAAGTACTTGATGACTGAAGCGAGAAGGGTCTTGCTACACTTGTTAGACAAAGGTTTCTTTATTTTAGAGTTACATTTCATGAAACTTGTTATGATTTGTCTATTGGTAAGTAACATAGAATTTCTTTTTGCTTTTATCCTTCACATAGAAGACTACATATCTTTGCTTTAGCTCGCATTGTGTTTGCACTATGGATGCTAACTCAATTAGTAGTTGTTCTTATTATTTTATCCCTTTTATTGATAACCATTCTAGAAAGGTTTGGGATTTTGTTTTGAAATCCAAAGACTATGTACTTAATGTATTCTATGCAAGTGTTGAAATAAAAATAGCCAGACTGTTGAAATGTGTTAAAGTAGATAGTGATAGTGAATATAAAGGTCCTTTTGAGCATTAGTTCAAGGAGCATGACATCAAACTTGAAAAGAAAACTCCAAAGATACCTTAGCATAACGAGAATGCAAAGAGAATGAATTAAATCATTAATTATAGGATTAAATGCATGCTCTCAAGAAAAATGGCCTAAATTTTTATAGGGTGAGACATTGAAAATTGTAGTGCACTTGACTAACCTCTCTCCTTTTATTCCTCTTGATGGTGATGTCTCTTAGAGGGTGTAGAAGGGGAAATATGTTTCATGTAGTCATTTGAGGGTGTTTAGTATAAAGCATCTATTCACATCCCTAAAGATTAAAGATCGAAGCTTGATGGGAAGTCTAAATAGCATATTTTCCTTGGTTATGGTCATGATGATTTTGGTTACAAACTTCATGATCTGGTTAATAAGAAAATTACTAGAATCTAAGATGTTATTTTTCTTGAGGATCAAACCATTGAAGATATTGGCTAGAAAGATAAGCCAAAACATTTTACTCATTGGTGCATTGATGATGAGCCAGAACCTCCTGCCAAAGTTGTTGATCATGGAAGAGATGTGAATATAAATTTGGAGAAGGAAACTGATATGTTTAAGGCTCAAGTTGTTAAGACAAGATCG